TTTCTAAGACCAACTGAGATATAAAATGGTCTTTTCCAGATGACAGTGTTCTTTACGCATACAGATGGGTGCACATGTAAATGTAAGGTATATATAATGTACAAATATATATATTTTATTTACTAATAATTATATTAGAAATAGAAATGTGTATTATGTATTTACTTTAAATAGCATGCCAGTTTAAGCAATGCAGTTGCAAGAGTGGCAAGTCAAGAGAAGACTCCAGTCCTGCCGTAGGTCGCCCTCAGTCGACTAGTGATTAGAGTGCTCGCCACTGGACCCAATGTTCGCGGGTTCAAACCCGGCCGAGGTTGATGGATTTTTAAGGGTGATAAAAATCTGTAGCACAGATTCCTTTAGAAGGGAAATTAAGCCGGCAGCCCCATGTCATATATTTGCGGCACGTAAAAGAACCTTGCTAGCATTAACGAGATGTTTCACAAGCAAAATTCAGTGGCCAATTACCGCAATGTCCTCCATCCAGTCTCTCTTTCTTCAATAAATATTATTCAACGTAATAACTGTTACCATTGCACATCTGCACCCCAATACCCACTACTGCTCAGTGACTGACCTCACCCTCTTCATATTAATTATGGGGATACAACATCGTTACCTTTTATCAAATGTGGCTTAAATGGCAAGTACATACTGATCCATTAGTAACCCATGTAAGAAAGCATCTTAATAATCTAAGTTCTAAGCACACATGTGTGCATGTTGCTTGTCATAAAGAATAATTAATTCTTTTATCACCATACTGAACATCAATGAGGTACACGTAAAATGCTTAAGTTCTGTGCTTGTAATTCACACACTGAACACTTGATAAAATATCAATACATAAGTTTGGAATTGACCTTATACTGTTTCCGCCTCAGCTGTTGGCACTGGTACTGGTAATCAAACCGGTCAACATTCCATGCAACCATCATATAAATAGTCCACAGTCCTGCTAGCAGCACTCGGTCTAAGCTGAAATTCAAGTTACAAGAATAAAGTGGCAGAGAATCAACTATTACTTCTTCCAAACAAAAACTGTGTATGTAACTAAATAAACATGCACTTCCATAAATCCATGTCTTGATTATATGTCACTGGAAGTCCTAATGTGTATTATGACAACTCAACCAATTATGTGTGTACAAGATATGCAGGCGAGAGTTTGTGAAATATTAAGCAATAAAAACCTGATAATTATTGTATTACAATGCATATTTTCCAAATATGTTCTTTGTGAGTTTACATAACTCAATAAAATCTTCTCGGGCGATCGGCCACATCAAATGGTTAAGATGAAGGAGATGGAATGATTAAGATGAATCTTAGGAAGACAGCCTGCATCAGTATATCGTCTGGCAGAAAGGTCAGAAACAGAAATCGAACCCAGAAAGAAACTGGAGTCCAAACAAAGGCATGTCTTACCTCATTACGGGATAAATCCAAAGCAAGGCACAGAATCCAATAAAACTTGGATGACGCATATGAAGATAAAATCTTCGTAACTCTCTGGACTTGAAGGTTAGGGGATCTGGCAGTCCACATAAGGAATAATAAACCTGAAATGTTTTAAATGTATTTCTATAACTCAAGAAGACACATCTTTGACGTGCTTGTTCTGTTTCATCAGTCTTATTCCAAATATTTTATGCAGCACAATCAATATAAACAGTAAAACCTGATTAAGCTATAGCTAAAATTCGTATCTACTAACGAAGCTCTTGTTCCTGATCACGATCCATATAAGAATCCATTCCACCAAACAGTGGGAGTACTTGACTAGACTAACAAAAATACAGGCCCACAAGGCCAAGAAAACTGTTATTTACAATTTTAAAATAAAAAGTGCAGGGTGTCCCAAAAACATTTAAACACAACACAATATGGAAAATTAACCTTGTCAGTCAGTTGCTCGCTGCTGTCTCGACTGAGCCACAAAGCTAACGGTGGTCATTTTGGACACCTACGCTAGATTTACAAATTCACTAAGTGCCAATGCTGACATGTGTAACGGTTTAGTTTATTAAAATGTTAATTATTTTAATCACTGAATGTGTGTATACATCTTTTTTTGACACCCTGTAGTTTTTGAAGCAGAAATGCTTACTTGCTTGATGCCAAACATCTCCCCAATGTCCATCATCAGGGTACCAATATAAATAACGCACCAAGCAAAACAATGCACCACAGTAAATACCGTCCACAGCACTCTTCCACTAGTGTCAATGTGCCAGAGACTTAGCCATGGAATAGGTTGCCAGTACTGCGTTACACACTGCAACAAGTAGGAGAGACTTCAAATTAATGTCTTTACATTTACTGCTACAAGAAATATATCAAAATGATACTCATGAGGAAGTTAGGAGGAGACTAAATTCCGGAAATGCTTGCTACTTCTCAGTTCAAAATATTTTGTCTTCCCCTCTAATTTCTGAGAAGCTGAAAATTAAAGTATACCAAACAATAATTTTGCCTGTCATTTTTTATTATTATTATTTATTATTAACTGCAAATGGGTTTTTACCCGGTGGCAGTGGTCCTACAATAAGACACAAAAAACATAAGACACAACAAAACAATAAGACACAACAGAACAATGAGACAACAAAACAATAAGACACAACAAAACAACATACCACATTCAAAATAAAACAACTCATAAGATTACAAAACCATAAGGCACAAGTATTTAAACACAACAGATAACCTAAAGCAGATAACTATATCTCACTCAGAGGGAGGAACACAGATTGGAGGTGCTTGAGGAGGATATTTGGGCCTGAGAGAGAAGAGGATGGGGTATTGAGAAAACTGCATAATGAGGAGCTTAAAAATCTGTACTCCTCCTCCCAATATTGTCAGGGTAATTAATTCGAGAAGAATGAGATGGATGGGGCATGTAGCGCGCATGGATGGGACAAGAGGTGTGAACCGGGTATTGGTCGGGAAGCCTGCGGGGAAGAGAGCGCTGGGGAGACCTAGACGTAGATGGGAGGATAATCTCAGGCGGGATCTATGGGAGATAGGAGTTGAAGGAGACTGGATTCTGTTGGCCCAGGATAGGGTCCGGTGGAGGGCTTTGGTTAATTCGGTGATGAACCTTCGGGTTCGGTAAGCCATCTAGTTAGTTAGTTAGTTAGAAATATTATTAAAGATATCAAAGAATTAACTTGCCTGCAATGCAATTGAAGTTGCAATTACATAAATGCTTCTTTCAGCAACTTGTAATCCAGAAGTATACAATGCCCTCTTGAAAAATGGTTTGGCCATAGCAGAATGTTGGAACATAAAAAGGCATAACAATGATGTATTTACAGTCAAAGCCCATATCGTAGCTGTGGTCCCTAAAACAAACAGGACATTACAGGTAGAAATCAAAAGCCTATTCTCCTGTTATTCAATTCAATTCTAAAGGCTTCTGACGATGGTGAATTACACTTAAAATTATTCTTTCCATCGTCCTTGTTTAAGAGAAGAAACCATGATGTTTTGGAAACTGGCTCTGTTTACATAATGGGTCCATCAGATAGAGCTAGTCTCCATCACTGACGTACCAAACTGAGTAGGTACCTTTTGCCTGAAGATGGAAACAGAGTCAGTTTTTCAAAATGTCATGGTTTCTTCTTTTAAACAAGGACGTTGAAAAAATTCCAGACAAAGAATAATTTTAAGTCTGTTCTCCTGTTCCTGGCTTTCAGTCCCATAGATCTTGTACTTTTAATATCTCACGTAACAGAAATTTATAATCCATCAAAAAAGGTAAATTTAGCTGGACTCTTTTTTCAAATCAGTTAACTTTTGTATTCACTGAAATTTTGATTGAAGGCTATGAAAGGACTCCGCTGCTTGTCCAAACTTTCTCACATAACCATACCATGCAACTACTGTGCTGTGAACTTTTATTCATTAATTCTTACAAGTTCAATAAATCTGTTGTTTCGAGAATTAAATTGCCGTGTGGTAATATGGAAGATCAACATCAAACAACTTTGGCTGTTACAACACAAGTGAAGTTGGACAGACTGATAAATTCTGCCATTAGAAGTCTCACTAAGAGGACTATTTACAAATTTGCAACTTTTTCAGATATTTCTGACCAACTTGAACATTTCAGTAATAAATGTCTATATCAAACAGCCAAAATGCAGGTAACGAACAGCTACTATTTAGCTGTGTTACAAGATGTGGTCCCAGTCACGGTATAAAATCACCAAGTATACATAACACACAAACATGCACTGTAGTTTCTCATAAACTAAAAGACTGATTGAGATGTGTTGAGTATAGATGAGAAAATTGCATATACTAAAGGAAGAAACATACAATTTTGGCTTGGGCATATTAAATTTGGATGTTACTAAACAATGTACACTTTTAACATAAGCAATTCATGTTATACATTTTACAGATATTTAAATTATTATGAAGGTACAATAATTTTTTAAGGATTTTACTATTTTAATACCTTGATTACATCCAAGTTTTGTGCCAGTAGCTATGTATTATTATTATTTTAATATTACCACAATAACTTTAAATATATCATACATGGATATCCCTGACAAAGGCCAATAAAGAATGTAACATAACAGAAAGGATTGAATACAACAGAATAAAATGGAATGAAACAGAATAAATAGCATAGAATATAATAGAGTCTCATACAATAGAATTTATTTACACTTTGTACAAGCCAAGTATGCAGAACATGTCATAACAACAGCTCAGTCAATATAGTGACTGGATATGGACTGGACAACCAGGGTTTGATCAACGACAGCAGTACAGGATTTTTCCTCTACCCTGTGCCTTCTGGGGCCCACCCAGCCTCTTATCAAATGGAAAATGCCAATAATGAAAATGGCCAGAAGTTGGATATGCAAGATTTTTAACTTTTTTTCTTCTTCAGAGGTTAAACTTTTGAATATTTAGGTCGCTAAGAAACTGCTGTAGTAATTAGTTAATTACAGGTATAAAGAAACACTAATATAGTCTGTGCAACTTTTGGAAAATACTGTGGATATTTCAACATAAATGAACGAGCCTGAATTTAAAAGAATGAAGTAGGCAAGCGATTTATACTTGGAAAGAATGCAGGTCGAAATATGCTGGATTATAAATAAGTCATCATATTTTAATTGTTTCAATGCATTTCAACGTCGTTTAGAGGCTCTCAAATAACCCATTTTGAACACACAGTACCTCAGAAATATTCCACTTACAATGTACTTCTGAAACATTCACTTTCGGTGATGGGATATAGGAAAGAAATGTCATCAAACTGCCTGCTGCTACAAATGCAAACAAGAATCCAAAAGTCGAAATTAACACTAATAAGATATTCAACAAGACTTTGAACACCATTTTGAACGACGTTTTTCAGCAGATGGTCTTACACATTCATATTTACAAAAATATAATCTGTGATTTTTTCACTACAACTTAAAAGACCACAAACGAACAAACATCTTGTTTTTTTATTGCTACAATCTGTGGCCCACACTTGAACAAGCATCAAGCCAACGCCTTCTAAAATTTACCTCTGTTGTTTTCTCACAGTGGCGTGTCGCCACTTGAGACAGTGGTTATAGCTATGTACTATCACTGTTACTTCAGCATGAATATTATATATAGATAACATTATGAGTCATTTACAGATTTTTTAATTAATTTGCGATGTTCCAAAATGCAGCCCCTTTTGAGGAGATATTATGTGGGAGCAGTGAGCTGAGGAATGGAACTCTAGCAAGAAAATTAGCGAAATGGGACACTGTTCACTAGTACCCTACCTTTGTTTTGGGATTTGCACACGAGCCGCTTAATGGCGCTATCGGCCAGTGCCGTAGCGGCGCCGCAAAATGGTTACATGCACCACTTAACGACATTGCTAAATCCTTTACTTCGAGCTATCGTTTACTCACAAACGATTAGTCCATGATGGAGCGTGAGGAAACAATTTTGTTTATTTCTTGATTTTCTGCGCTTTAAAAAAAGGAAAGAACCACAAGATCTAGGTTCATCTATTGAAAGATTTGAAAGGTTACTTCTGTACTCTTATACTATAATGACCTGAGGCAGAATTTCATCAAATTTTCAAGATAATTCCAAATGTGTGAAAACACTTACCATAAACTTCGATACATACTACGAAAGGACATTTCGGGTGAGGACACAGATATAAGATATAAGAAAATGTATACAAAGAGCATACTCAATATTCATGTAAAATTTTCATCCGCCCAATTATATTTTACTTCATAAGCTTTTGTGTTTGAAATTTATATATTATGGTGGCTGGGACCAGCGGATGAAGAAACGCTTGATTTTTGCAAATGTCTTACTGCATGGTATCCATGCACGTTACAAGATACCGGAAGGATTATGTCTGGGAGGGCAAACATTCTGGCTAACCGGAGCCTGTATGGCGAATTCGGTCGGAAGGTATGACCGGAAATCGAGCCTGTAATGAATCTGCAAATTCTTGATTTTTTAACTGGAGTTTTACACTGAAGTATACGGGTTACAACGTGTGTGGGTACAAATAAGACTAGAAGTGAGGCTTGCAGTATTTCGTCATCTCAGTCAACCACATCAGTATACAACCATGTTTGTTTCGCCAATTCACATCTATTCTTTGCCAGAACATCATTGGTGCGATAACTGGCATGAAATCCTAGTATCATGAATTCATCTCGATAATTAGTCTCCGCCCCCCTGGTGTTTCATATTCATATCTTGACATTTAAAAGTTGCATATGTTTACATTTATAACAAATTTATGTTTTAACTAACAGATAATTTTACTGTCTTATAACAGTTTTTAGAATACGGGGAGGCAAACTACCAGCTTGGGCAAATATTGACGCGTTTCGCGGGGAATGGTTTACACAAGATTTGTGTCATTATACGGTATCATGTCTCTGGAGGCAATAGTAATTCCGCCCTTTGTGGGTAAAGTTGCGAAAGAGATCACATGACCATATGCAAGGAACAAGTCAGCTCTGTGGCAGAATCGAGGAGAAACGATCGCTCATGATCTAAGAGGCGGAAGATTCACTGTCTGCATGACGCTGTGCCTACCGAAGGTCAAGCCCGTCAGTTGCCCTTAGCGAAGACATGCACAGTCGTGAACACTGGTTCTTTGTTTAATCGGAATTATTTGGATGTTTCTATAAGTAAAATTTATATTTCCGGCCGTGGAAGATAGGCACTGTTCGCATTGACAACCACAGTAGGGACTAATTAGGAATCTTACCAATGAGTGACTTTCTTTCGGTCAATGACGGGAACAGTGGTTCATTTTTCGACTGCTTAAATGTCGTGAACGATTCATTACTTTCTATATACTTTTCTCTTTGCTAAAAATTAGTGTCATGGCTGTTAATTCGACTAGTGGACGTCGTAGCTGCCTTGTCGTCTTGCCAAGCTGCAAAGAAGGTATGCTAGAAGACGTATTGCTCATTCTCATTCTTAACCTCGGCACTGGATGGGGTGAGTGGTTACTGTCACTTCCCGGCTCCGCTTCATCCCCGCGAAAGGACCTGGGTACCCATTGTAGAGGAGGCTGGGTGGGCCCCAGAACCGGTCTGGACGCAGAGGCTAGAGAAACAGGATATAGGTAATTTCCTATTTTATCATTACTTTTGGAAACTGGTTTTAAATGGTATTCCTCCCATTGTGTCTGGGGACAAGTTTCGCAACAAGCAACGCATGTCTTTTGGGTAGAACATGCATTCTGAGCAGAATGTGGACTGGACTCACTTGACTGAGGATAGGGACCAGTGGTGGGCTCTTGTGCATGTGGTAATGAACATTTAGTTCCATAAATGACTGATAATTTCTTGACTATCATCTTCCCAAGAAGCACTCTCCTCTGTGGCATTAGTATTTTCAGTACTACATTCGTTATATACTTGGTAAGTAAATTATTCTCGGTTCTTCTTTTTTGTGTTTATTTCAGGTGTGTCTGCACAGTCTTTTATCCAGTGTTTTACTCTGACTCACTCAGCATTCACCGTTCAACTTGCTACACCTGGAGTAAGTTTTTTATTACAACAATTATTATCTGTTAATAACTTTTAAAATATGATATTGCCAATTAAATGTGTGGCACATTGTCATTTCAGTTGTAATCATTATTTACATTTATCAAAATATTAAATAACAGATCATAAGTAACTATAAGAACTAATCTTACAAGTAACATCACCTAAATTTTGGCACTGGCATTTTCTCCACACCTGATGTAAAGATTGTGCTGTCTTGTTTGATGTAACTGAAATTATATTGTGGCTAATGGTTATACCACCACCACAATTCAGTCACTTGAGCCATGTTTGTGCGGACATATTTGGTATAGACAAGTCATACCCTTTACTACTTTACTTTACTTTGTGACATATTAAGTCCCAGAACTACTAATGTAGAATGTATAATGATTTTTGTATTCTAATAACTCGTTACGTTGCGGTATTATTTAGTACATTATAGAGTATTCATGGTTTGTGTTTTACTTATCATTATTGGTATCTAACAGATAAAGAGTTGGGTCACTTGTCAACCCATTCAATCCTTATCCAAAAGTCTCTTTGACGGCTATCCTGTTTTTTAATCTTTGTGGCTTATAATTTTTTAATATTACTAATTCCCTTATTTTGTATTCTATCCATCGTCATTTGAGACTTTATAAAATACCTTCAGAAATCACAGATCTTAGAAATAGTCCTTTGAAAGGTGGCATACTAATTAATATTTTCTGTAAGTAATGGGTGTACTTTTAGGAACAAAAATCGTTAAGTTAGTTTGTTAGTTAGCTAGTTTGTTTGTTGTTTGTGTTCCCCCCCCCCCAAATGAAATTATGTACAGTCAGTTTTAAACACAGAACCTTTGAATCTGAATGTCATTGAAAACAAAGTATGGAAAAATAAATTCAATATGCGCATCCATCACTTCTAGCCTTTCCAATGCTGCAAAAATAATACAGTATGTGTATGATAATACTGATGATTGCTTTTTGCTCGTTAACAAAAGTTATTGGACTACATCCCTCGTCCAAGGAGTCCTACTGAATGTCTATAGATCAAGCCAACGAAAAGTTGGGACCCGCAGTGCTCAGGCACTTGAAGAACGGGTCGTTCCCAGTATCTCAGTATGCCCTACAGACAAGTAGTAATTACACATTCTCTTTTGAATATCACAATCTATTTCCAGTGCTGTTGGTATGTGTTCCACATGTAAATTTTGAAACATACAATCAAGTAATATACAGCTGCACAATTTAAATGAGTATTCATGCAAATACAATATAGGCATTGAAAGAAAGACAACATACTACCAGAACTTGAATTGTATGGACTCCTACCATCATTGATTTTGTATTTTAGCACATGCTTTTGACATTCAGTATATCCACAGCGTACTTTATGATGGCAGTATGGCAACACATATAGTGTTAATGTTCTATTATCATGATTGAAATAAATACCTTATTTAGTTGTGTTGATGGTGATCAAACCTTTGTTTTTCTTTACTGCTCTTGCCCAGAAAATTCATATCGTTGATGTGTTTGTGTGTGCGCAGCTGTGCCACAGTTTTGTTACATTATACTCAGCCTTTCAGCTTTCAGTGTTGCTCACAGGAATTAATTAAAATTTCACGGCTCACTTTTACTGTTGATTTCCTGTTCCACTCTGATGAGTAATAAATAATTTCTTTTGTTATAAGGGAAAGACTCCAGAGTTCATTAATCAAGATGATCAGAGTCGACGATGGCTGAATGATTTTCGCACAAAACCATTTGCTGTCCCTTTGAGTTTGGAAATAATTGATCGTAAGTTTCACATTAGCTACTTAATAAAGCAGGCTTTACTTGGAAAACAGCATTATGTAAACATGGAAGAAGCAGATTTAACCTGTGTTATGTGATTTTGACTTGTGTGAAATTAAAAACTACTTTGTCGCATTACATATTCTCCTATAAAATGTAAAATATATTAAACATATATTGACACAAATATTGGACCTCAGGTAGTATAGATCATTCTGGAAGTTACTGAAAAGTCCAAAGCACCATCTCTGGTGTATGTAAAAGTAAAGAGTCAGTCTTGAATTCATCAACTAGAAGCAGCAGTCGTGGATTACGGAGTGCTGTACATTTGTATGCCGCCTCAGTGTCTGCATTACTGACCAGGGTCAGGAAACTACAAGAACAATACAGTGTAGAAGGCAGCTGTGAGATTTTAGGCTCTCATGGCTGGAGGAGGCAGTAAGCACTTCTAAAATTTCTGTAAACTACCAGACTATACAGTGCAACAACCCAGAGAGGTGTTAAATCCAGTTAACCATGGCTGTTATTTGAGAAGAGACAGACATTAATCCAGGAAATAATCAGTTGTACTCATTCTTGTGTGAAATAAATTAATTTAAATTGAAAACCCATTACGTAATCACTGATTACATCACAACTCTTGTCATTGCACTTGTATTAGTGTGAAGTCATTGTTAAGAATTGTCTTGTCACTGGTAACATCACAACTGGTGTCAGAAGCAGGATGAATGGATGTGGCGCTACAGTTGATAGTGAGCCAGTTAAGAACAATTAAAAATGACATGCATGCCAACCAAGAGGCAATGAAAACAAATAAACACCAAAATCAAAGCCACATGACTTCAAGGAGAAATTTATGGACAAGCTTGACAAACAGCTGAAGGGTGTCATAAATGTGGTCTTGTAACAGACTCAGAAAGTCGTGAGGAGTTGAACTATGAGTTACAGGAGATGCAACAACATAAGAATGGCACAACAGGATACTTAATCAGCTCTATGAGACATAGAAACAACTCGACATGACTTGAAAGCCATGTCACAAGTGAGACCCAGCTGGCAGTAGTGGGGGCCAGACACCCAGAGGATGCACGAGTTGATTTCAGCCGCATGCAAGAGAGTGGTGATAACGCAGCTATGGGGCCCCTGGAGGCAGCGAATGGCTTTGTGGAGCCCAGTCTGAATACTTCCCACCAAGGACTCTACCTTGCCAGGACATTGGTTCAAACTCAGCTGAAGGTATCTGTCATGAATGTAAGTGACAAAGACCAGGTGCTCACTGGATGCACCACCCTGGCCTGCTGTGAACCAGACAGTGTTGGTACATGACCTGGAACCCCAACCTCACAGGAGTTGAGGGCTCTGTGAGCAGTTGCAATGGGTGGTATCCAGTGCTAAGGCCACACCTAAGCACCAGAGTGTCAATGAAATGTGATGACTGTGTGTGGGCTAGTACCATACCTAGAGGTTTTCAGGACAAGCAGCTTTGTAGAGGAAGCAGTATTGCATGTGAGATCAGCAAGAGGTGATGTCAGTCGACACAATGGGCTAGCTGTGTATTGTGCTGCCCGTGGAAAGAGGAACAAAAGATGAAAGATGTTTATATGATACTCTGTTCTCAGACATTTCTGAGTGAGCTCAGCAGAACTCCAAGTCACCGGGAGTGGTGCCAGACACCGTAGGGCTATTGAGAAGTTTCTCAAAACTCGTAGACCATTCTGTGTGCTTATATGAAGGCTAGTGATTTGTGAATTTAGAGTCTTCAGTTGTGTAATGAGTTGCATGTGAACAGGAGTTCCGTGTTCAGTCAGCAGTGGAGAACAGTGTGGACTTCAGCACAAGTTAAGAAATTAAAACACAACAAAGACTAAGGCACACATTCTAGACAATTTGATTTGTTTAAAAAGCTGACTTGGGCAATTCTGCAATTATCAATTCAATTTTAGAAATGAATATTCAGAATACAGCAACTTATAGAATTTGTTGTAGTTTAAATCACAGTCAGTCAGTAATGTCTAAATAAAATATAATACTACTAGTACACAATTGTTATTAAACTTTAGAGTAAAATTAGTTGTAGTTAAAGGAAGTAGAATCACATGTCCTGTGTTGGATTATTTTCAGCAAATCGTTATACGTCTTTAGTAATTCCTCATGCTCCTGGTGCTGCGGTGGACCTTGCAAACAACAAGGATCTGGGCCATATCATTTTACAGTTCATCAGAGACAAAAGTAAGCAACTCCAGTCTTTGCTTAGAGTGTATGTACATTGTTGTACATTAAAAACATGATGGATATACAGGGGATTTTACATTGGAGTTATTAACCTTCATTGAAAAATGATGATTCTATAATTGGTATGTAGGTTTCATTACATTTTTGTTATTTTATTTTTATCAGTAAATGAATAAGCATAGTTTTTTGTGTTGTATGGGGACAGTTACTAAGATGTTGCTGTGGTGAAGTATTATAAGGTGTAATTGTTAACTAACTGGCTTAAAATTTCACAGCCGTTTTATATAATACAAATTATACAAACTTTTTTAAAGTGCTGAGTTTATAGTCTAATTACGCTTTATCTAAATGCATCTGCAATGAATTATTCACATTATAACTTTTGTTACTGGCTGTTGTATTTCTGCTCAGTCTTTGCTTAACATCGAGCATGTCTAAGACATTGTGTGGTTCTTAAAAGCAAATTTTCATTGTTTCATTTTGATTTTATTGCACATATAAGTTAGTTGGGACTACTTTCACTTTAGGAATGAGCTATATTTAACAAGTTTGATTTTTAGCACAAGAATTTTGGATTTTATTTTATGAACGATATAGGAATTAAAGTTTCTAAGGTTGAAACTATCACTGCAGAAAACTACCTGCTGGACAGTAAACAGCCCCACACAGTCTGTCTTGCATTCAGTGTCGGTTGAACATAAAGTATTTTAGGGCAAGATGCTAGCTTATCATGCCAATTGGCAGTAGAATGCCTGCCAAGGACCAACATGAGTAAAGCAACCAAAATTCTTAGAATCAGAAAATCTAAATTAACTTCAGGGACTTAGGAAAGGGAACGGGGCCAATATAATTTGTAACCAACGAGCTTAACTATTTTTTTAATATAGCAATGAATTTGTAATTGTATACTTCATATGCATACAGAATTAAATCAGCAGCTTAAATGAGTAGAGCTAATTCTTCTGACCATGAGGTCAGTGATGGCAACACTACCATATAAAAATATACAATAGACATGAGCCTGCAAATTATTCATCCTTCCTATCATTACTAAGAAAAGTAAAAAGTTCCATTTATTATAAATTATGGTAGCAGTGAACACTGCAAAAAGATGTGACAGAGTATGCATAACATTTCTGTGTATAAATATTTTGTTTTGCAGACATGAATACATGCACACATCCAAATGTCAGAAAGGAGATGCAATAGTGAACAAATTAAAAATGATAATCATCAACTCCAATTATGAATTAGGGAGTTTATGGCACATTTCTTTGTAAATTCCAGAGTTGATATGTGCCATTGGCCTTGGTGTAGCAGGGTTGTTGTCTGCACAAGTTGAAGAGAATTCAAGTTGGGGATTGAAAACATATTCATTAACAGGGGTGAGTAAACTTTCTAGTTAGTACATTGATTTTGTAAACTCATCTCTCACGGCCATTGAAGATCTCCGGATCCAGTTGAGGTAGATCAGTCTTCATCCTTACAGGCAGATGCAAAGGGGGCTGTCTGTTGTCCATTTGTTACTTACTTTTATTTAACTTTCTACAAATTTTGTTTTTTATCTGTACCACCCTGTAATCGTCTTTTTCATTGGTCCCCTTTGCTTCCTACACCTGCTACATCATCCCCATATTCAGCATTGGACTGTCCTAATGGTTTGGCCACATCTGCATGCATTTATCACAGCAGTTCTTCCTCTTTTAGGGTTATGTACCTGTTAGTTACAAAGACTTTAATCCCACTAAACTCCTGTAGGGATATTCCTTATCGGTATGGTTCTACCCCATGATTTTAGTGCATCTTCAAACTTATAGAGAGTTCAGAGATGAAGCTTGAGTGTACTTACTTCCCCTGTATGCTAGTCTAGGTGTCGAACGTGGACCACAGTAATGCACATCCGCATAGAGTCCTATTAGGGGCCCCAGTAGTGCAGACACTCCGACAGTCATGTAACCATTAGTCTGGCTACACAGTTCTGACCACTCACTGGTAGTTGTGATTTAATCGATTAGAACAGGGGTTCTCACCATTTTTCACTGGTGTACCACTAATTTTATCCTGAGCCATAGCTGCGCGGTCTGAGGCATTATGCTTCGGACCGGTGATGCGGAACGCGCGCTGGTTCGAGTCTCGGGGAAAGAAATTTCTTATGAGATTTTCGACCAGTGTCAACCCAGCATCGTGAGGAAGTTGGGGAGCTATAATGGGTAACGTAATCCGGTTATGAAAACTAGCAATGGCTGGGGGTTAGTTGTGCTGACCACACGTCACCCTATATCTGGTTGGATGATCGTTCACCTCTGCTTAGGCATGAGAACGTGAGGCCAGCAGCCAGCTAGTCGGCTTTGGCTCTCAAGGGCTGTTACGCCACAGATTATTATTTACCACTAATTCTAATTTAACACATTAAATGTGCCACTTACCAAATGCGTTCAAGGAAAACATTTATGTTAATATTATCTTTTGATTTTCTTACTTAATTCGCGTACCACTCAACATTGGCTCGTGTGCCGTAGGTTGAGAAACGCCGGACTAGAAGGTCCCCTGATGCTGTGCAGGCCTATATTTATCATACTGTTTGTATTAAGAAGACAGGTGCAAATAGTCATAGCAGCTGATGCACCTTTGAACCCATTACCACAACAACCACTATCACCATTAGGGTGCATGGAGCTATACCTCCACCCCATATGCCATGGTGTGGTATTAATTTAAACTCAAAGAAATCTGTTTATATGTATTTTGTTGTAATTGTGTAGTGTAAGGACCACTGCCACCGGGTGCAAACCCAATTGCAGTAAATAAATAATAATAATTTACATTAGCTCTATAAAGTGAAAATTAGAACATTTCTATTCCCAGTACCAACAATAGCGTAACAAATTAGTGTCCTCGATTATACATTTTCTTGCCAGGATTTGACCTTGAATACTGTGCAGCTATTACAAGTAAATATACATTACATTTCATTTGATTTCATTCCAAATTTAGTTCTTTTTAATTGTCTTTAACAAGTTTGGTTTTTATTTTATTAATAATGTTGGAATTAGAAGTTGCTGAGGTTGCAGTTCTCACGGAAGAAAAGTATCCGCTCAATAGGAAAGAGACACACTCAACTTCAGTCTGTTGTTCACGTAATGAGTTGGAAAGAAAATCGAACAGCATTTGGAACAGGTCAACTTGACTGATGTTTACTGTGTCATGAATTAATTTGTGGTATGTAAATTATATGTTTAGAATTAAACAAGAACTTTAGATGAGTTGAGCTAATTACATTTTTTTACCATAGTGGTATATTATAATTAAAAGAGGTTCATAGGTTTTCTTCACAGAGAATCAGGAAGAATATTATTCATCGTCAGTAGAAGCCAAGAATTAAAGCCTCTCTCCTACAGAGACAAATGAAAGATGAGGTTTTGGTTACACTCTGTTCGAAACAAAAACGATCATGCTACAGGTGACAAAACTGAACATTCTATATGCAATCACACAGCAAGTTCCCCAAAACAATCTGGTCACTACAGCAGAAGTAAATCAGAGAATGAGTATTATTTTGTGTCTTGACTTAATACTTCGGAAGATGTACTAGGAATAAAATCCAGAAATGTTTCAGAACATCTCTATGATATATTTTTGGTTCTCCTAGGGAGACAACTTCATCATGCAAAAAGCGATCTTGCCTGCAAAGCATTAAAAATGTGACCAAGACAAAAGTACCACTTTACTTTACTGAAGTCTACCAGAAATGCATGTGTACATAAGTTCTTATTATGTACTGTTATACTTTCTTATAATCCTATATGCAATACTTAATTTATTTTATTAGATGAAAGATAACATTTATGGTTTTGTACTCGCTGTAAGGACTACTTTTATTGTATTAAAAATGTACACTACATAACTTTCTTTATGTAAGGTGAAATATAGCAATGTTTTGTACTCCTTCAAAGCATGTGGACTGTATTGTTTCTTAAATTAAAATATTTTTTTCATTATGTACTGTAAAATGTGGCAATAAGTCATTGTTCTGCCATCCCTTTAAACACGTAATTCACTTCCTTTTGGTTTAAACAATAATTATACTACACAGCATTTTCACGCTGGATCGCAGATATCTTTTGCGTGTAATGTCATAATTAATTACATTGAACTATTGTTGTATCTCACGATCAGTTTTGTAATGCTGTAGCTTCAGCTCCTGGAACTTGGAAGGAAAACTTGAACTTCTTATATCTCAAAACAATTTTTTTAATTTCCCCAAAAACGTTAAAAATGTACCTTACTGTGCACTCAAAAACTCAGTAGTAATTAGTAGTAATGGAATTTCTACACAAGCTCATTGCTGTGCAGATTATTTTTCACTTTTAATTCTTTATATGGCATAGAAATTAAATATCCAAAAAGCAGAAGTTTGTGTCACATGATTTCTTACTTTTCTCAGTCATCAGTGTTTGAACTTGCTCGACTGCCAGACTTTGCGGGTTTGGCAGTCATACCTGAAGATGCAGTACGTGATCGTGGGGCAAGCTTTGCGACCAGTGAACCTGATTGTGTTCATGTTGTGGTTGACAGACATTTGGTCACAGGCCAGAATGAAGCATCTACACTCACAGCTGTTCAGAACCTGGTTTTGTTATGCAACCAGAGGTATGAATTCATCATTCCTGATAAGTCCTTTAAGTATGTGCAGTGAGTAACATAATGACATTGAACATTATGAATGAAATTAATAAATATATGCTGCATTCCGTTCACAATCTCTTATCACGTCTTCATACCAAACCTTAAGTAATATTTCTTCATGTCATTGGTATTTACTTATCATCATATATTATGGATTCTTCTTACTGCTGTCATCAGTTGCATGATCTCAAAATCTTTGATATAAAAATCCATTAAAATTTTCTTTTTAATATATCCTTATCGGGGTCCGCAGTGGCCACGCAGTCTGAGGCGTGGGCCTTGTGCCGCTTGGTCGCAGGGACCGTGGGTTCGAATCCCACTCAAGCCATGGATGTTTTTCTGTGTTGTGTTGTCCTGTGTACAGGTAGAGGCCTTGCGACGGGCCGATCCCTCGTCCAAGGAGTCCTACCAATCCATAGATCAAGCCAACTGAAGAAGTTGGGGACCCGTAAAGGGTACCGGAAAATGTATAAACATTGTTAAACCGGAAAAAGAAGAATATATCCTTATCTGTAAGTTTGATTCACTCTTTACTGATTGCTTTTTCTTTTCTTTTCTTTTTTCTGGCAGGCAGGAAAAATCAAGTAGCAAATAGGAACAAAGTTCTGATGGAAGAGGAACCACATGCTATGGCTAAAACTTCAGATTGTGCTATGTGGTACATGCCTTTGTACAGTTGGATTTCAAATAAAGTAGTGAATCCACAGCAAGACAACAACGTTTGTATCTTTCTGTTAAGGCAGGAGAAACACTAATTAATGCCTTTACTTTATGAAGCAAAATGTGACACTGTATCTGCTAAATAATTTGTAAAGAACAAATAAGTAACAGAAATATCAATTTTAATGATGGCATTTGAACAAAGTACTAGTGACTTGAAATTTTGATACTGGTCCAACATACTATCCATTGGACTGTTCAACACAAAAACATTGTACTATAAGAGTAGATAAGAGCATGGCTTTTCATGAATATTACAAGAAAAATTATGACACCTGTTTTTATGAGAATGTGCTGTCTTTGGATGTTGTGCCATTTAGTCTGGTAGATAATGATCACTGTTTCACAGGAGCTGACTGTCTTAATTATCAGATTTTAAGTCTCATCACAAAACTTCTATTTTTCCAGACATCAGGGCAATGTTAGCTTTAGAATGAATGGTCATATACTACTGTAGATGCTTCCATTTGCTCACAATTTCAATGATTTTACATAATCCTATATACAGACTAACTGTGCCAGCTTCTATTGCTAGTCAATTTCCAAGGAAAGCCATATCCTGTTGCTTTGCAGCTCTGAACCTATTCTGCCTGAAATAGTAATCAGAAGAGAAAACCGAAAAATTGAATGGGGCTTTCTCAGAAGACAAATCAAGAAAGATTTATCTAAAGGTTTTTGATGAAGTCGAGTCATTAGACAGATGTATACTGCCTACTGATTAAAGATTTTAAAAACACACGTCATTTCTGATATTGACTTTATTCTTGGCTAACCGTCCACCTATCTCATGACTTTTGTTTCATTGGTTGTGGTTGTAACAAGAGTAGTACTGATGTTTCGTGGTCATAAGATCCAATTTAAAATTTTTAGGATACAATTTCTTACTTCCCACAGCGGATCTTTAATGGCTGCAGTTTATGTACCTTGATTATAACCAGTGTTGTCTGGGGATTGGGATTATTTCTTTCCTACGGACCCAACGAAATTATATGGTTTCACCTGATGACAGAGCAGAGCCAACTTCTGAAATGTGTTTATTAAAAGATGAAGGAGAGTTTCCAAGAAAATGTGTCAGAAGTAAAGTAATTCCATATTCAGTTAATAGGAAGAGACATCAATGTTCTAATACACTTTTGTTGCTGGAATCAGTGCCATTAATTTAATATGCTGTAATGGTCAAGTCACAAGAATATATCTTCTCATTTTCAAAGGAAATTATACAGAGTATTACCATACTAGAGCAGAGCGCTCCTTTTGGAGCACCATGGGGGGGGGGGTCAAGTTTGTAATACACAACCAACCTTGTGTAAGAAACTAAACTAACCCCCCGAATGGAGGGTTAAAACACTTGACCAACCCCCCCTTCAGGGGGGTTAGTTTACTGTCTCATTCAAGTGTTTTAACCCTTGAGTAAGAAACTAAACTCCCCCGTTTATAACGTTTCAAATACTTGATAACATCTTCTTTCACTTTTCTGATGTTTTAGGCCAACTGTCAGTCAATTTTCAAGAATGCGATGTGCTGCTTCTGGAGCAGAGATCATGTGACTGACTTGATAGTTTTTGTTATGAAGCATTATTTGTTTACTCGGCATTGTTGTAGAACACGACAATGCGAGTATAAACAAATAACGTGACATTGTTGATGACGTCATTTTTTGACGACAACGAGGAATCAAATTTTTATAGTAGATATTATCATGCCCAATTACATTTTATCCTAGCTATATGCAATTTGGTTCAAAAACAAAATGTGGCCAACACTCAAAGTTATATGAAATTAAAATTTAAGAAATGTCTAAGACTCTCAGGAATGAAAGAGTGATGAAGGATAAAATAAAATACAGCTTTATTACCGATTGAAAAAATTGCATGAGAAGAGATACGCAATGACCTTGAGAGTAGTTTACAGCTATATAACTGGTAGTTAGTTGTTCTACATTTCAACATATGTTTAAAAAACTCACTGTTCACGTGTAATACAGTTTTGAAGAGAAACGGCTGCCTCCTCCGTTAATATTAGAGCGAAGTACGTCATAGTCCCAGTGTAGCTCTTGCTTGTTATTCCACAGAATGATTTGACATTGCCTAATAAGCTGATTAACCTTTGTTAACCCTTCATCCCTAGTATGGAATATCAAATCAACACTGATAGAATAAGGCAAGATAAGTCAGTGTTGTATTATAGGAAGCACAATGTAAAAAAAATTATATCACATGTCTCCATTTCAGTTACAGACCTAGGAGAGCCAGTGCTAAAAGAAGAAGACTGGAAAATGGCAAAATAAAATCACAATGTTAGTTACAATTACTATTTCATGTGTTCCGTCAGAAACATAATGAAAAATACTCTAAAAATCCACGTGTACAAATCTTCAGCTTTAATTATGATGCAGTGTTAAAATTAAATTTTCAAACTTTTCATTTGACTGCAATTTGAAGTGACTAAAACAGTAAAATACTGTGATTTATAAGACTGCGATGAAGCATGCAATTAGTGAACTTTTTCCACCTGCACTGGATTAGCATTAGCATGAGCTTCACCCTGGCTTAACTGCTTCACATCAATTGGATCCCTCAACTGTGGAATTGGCTGAGGCACATGTTGGTATGGGAAATTTATATTACTGTTTTGTCCTTGTTGAGTCTGTATTGGTATTTGACTAGGCTTCACTTGTCCAGGTTGGACCTGGGGCGGTGCCTGTCCAGGATGAACCTGAGGTGGCACTTGTCCAGGTTGGACCTGGGGCGGTGCCTGTCCAGGATGAACCTGAGGTGGCACTTGTCCAGGTTGGACCTGGGGCAGTGCCTGTCCAGGATGAACCTGAGATGGCACTTGTCCAGGTTGGACCTGGGGCGGTGCCTGTCCAGGCTGAACCTGAGGTGGCACTTGTCCAGGATGGACCTGGGCTGATGCCTGTCCAGGATGAACCTGAGGTGGTATTTGGCCCAGCTGGTTTGGATGAAACTGTCCCATTGGTACTTGAGCAGGGTATGTTTGTCCAGGTGGATACATCTGTCCTTGTGGCACTTGATTGGAATGAGGCACCTGGTTGTCATAGTGAAGTATCTGTTGGCCTGGATGTGGCTGTGGGGGGAACTGAAAAAATAAACACACCATACTTGGATGTTTTATTGGTTGTCTGCAGTACTGTGGTAGGTTAAGAACTGTCATGAAGCTGAGTATGGATATATGTACTGAATTTGAGTGCTATGTGTGAGACCTTAGGTATTGGATAATATTCTGAATGATTCTACTAAATGAGGGAGAAGAAATAATGTCAAATTGTGAGCACAATAAAAAGACAGTTTTGTTTCTGCTCATCAGGTTTACTAACATGGGGAATATTTCTTATGTTATACAATTATCCTTTAGGAGTGACAGTTGTACATACTATATGCTATTGTATGTAGTAGCAACAGTTGCAGCTGTTCACAGTTCTGAGTTATGGCTTGAGAAATGGAATGTTACTGACGTTAGGACAATGATCAAGTTCTATGGACTGTTGAGAAAAATGCCATGTATCATATTGTGTTGAAGGAAGGCATAAGGAAACATCCTATTGTATTAAACTGTTTAGTGGTTGAAGAATATTTTTATTTGGTTGAGTTCTTCATACAGAGATCTGTGGCTGCCTAATACCTGGTTTTCATGGCCACAGTCCTTAAATAGCTAGCTCCATTAACACTACTTATTTACTATACCTATTCCTTATTACTGTACCTTCCCCACCAATTCCAATTTAAAATTCCTAATTTTACTCTGCCATTTACAGCTTATTTTACAAAGGAAATTCCCTACATTCCTGACATCCATATCCTTAGTACAACTTATTATTTTCTTGAAGGCTGACTCTTCACTGATAGTAAGCCACTTATTCCTAAAAAATGGTTCCCTCAACTTCCCCATTTCCACACACTTTAGCAGTATATGGATCTCAATCTCCTCCTCCCTACACAGTGGGGATATTCTTTCATCCAAGCCTCCCCTCATCTGCCTCAGCTTCCAAATACCTGCTCTGAACCATGCCCACCCCTCCCTCTCATCGCTTGTACAGCAACCAATGTATCCCTCTCTACCCCACCCTCATTTCATTTCCTAGAACAACACCAATTACCTCTTCTCTAATTTTAGCAAAAGATTCTATGATGCTGCACCTATCCTTTAAAATTCCACATGTCCTACCCACGCTTCTTCCTTGTTGATCCTGCCAAATATTTCCCAACCCCACTTTATCTAATTCATATTTCACCTTCTTAGCCCACCCCTCAACTTTCAAACTCCTTACCTGCCAATCATAGCATCCTCTTACCAAATCATCCTTATCCATTTGTAAAATCCCTAACCAAAATTTTGTGACCAACCCCAAAACCTTGCCCTCTCCTGCTGTCTCTCCCCAGTTCCACCTCTGCTACCCCATCCACTGCAACCCTTGGTATCCCTAGGACCTTCTTGCAAGAGCTCCCGTGAATTATATCAATTTCTTTCCATCCCTCCTCTAAGCCCCATACATCAGTCTCAATTCACATATCTTGTATACATTTTCTAAAATCTTTAACCTCATATCAGGCATTCTTGCTAGGCACTTATCTATAGCTACGGAAGCCTGTTTCCCTTTTGTCACCACTTCAGCCTTATGTTTATTCCACCCTCCTGTGTTTCACCACACATAAACCACATCTCATTCTTCTTCAACTTCCCTCCCCTCTTGCACACCAAAACTTTCGTCTTCTTCAAGTTCTATTTAAAGTTCCATTCCATACAATACTTTGTCACTTGGTTGACCCCCTTCTGCAAACTGTTCACTATGAACAACCCAAATGCTAAATCATCTGCAAACAACAACCCTGGAATTAATTCCTCCCCTATCACAGGTGTGTGTGCGTTGCCTTCACTAATATAATAAATAATATCATCTATAAAAATATTAGACAAATATGGACTCAGGCTGCACCTTTGCCTTACACTGGTGTTTGGTGGACCTGGAGAAAGCCTTTGACACAATTGATAGGAAGGTCTAATGGTTTAAAATGAGACAGAAGGGAGTAAGTGAAGGGATGGTGGAATGTATTAAGAGAATGCATGATGGAACCAAATTTTGTGTGATGTGTGGAGAAAACGAAGTGACAGACTTGGTGGAGAATGATATTAATGCCAGACAGGAATATGTGGTGCTGGCATGTGTTCTGCATCCTTACTGAATATCTGTGGAAGAATAATATCAGTGCAAACTGAATTTCGGGTGTTCTGAAATAAAGTAAGCGTACCAAGCATACCCATCATCTGTTTCCACAGGTGCCATGAGAGAGATGTGTTCTATGAGCTGAAGGTCAACCAAATGCTCCATCTTACATGCACAACTTATCAGCAAAACAGGCAAATAGTATTCCCTATGTTTGAGGATACGAATCACTACCACTTCTCTCCAAAACGAAAGCTGTGTGTTCTTTAATGTATATTTGTACCACTCATGGGAGACTATTACAAATACCATCAGATGTGGAATTTGCAAATAAATTTGGGGTCAGATTATCTGCACCTCTCCTCACATTTTTTGCTACTAAAAAACTTGGAGCACACTATGGTTTATGTTCTAAATGTGTAGGACAAAAAACTCAAGATTTCATTAAAGTGATCATGTTGAAGAAACTACTGTGTGATTACTAAGCTGAAACTATAAAAATATTATATTTGTAACAATGAAAATAACGCTCTTGTTATTATGCTCACTGTGCGTGCATGTGTCTGTGAGCGCACATGCGTGTGTGTATTACTGTTTACATTCCTGTTCTTTTCCACATACAAATTATTATACTGTACTTAACCTAAATGTTATGTTACAGTGTACTTCATGCAGATTTCAAGCAAATTACAAACACATTGAAACAAATGAAAATTCATTAAAACATTTAACATTCACACTAAAGTGACAGATTTTAGGTTACCATGGCAACGAAGATGTCTATGATGGCTTTCTGAGCTGTGACTCCGCATGCACTTGTAGGTGGATACCAACATTTTGGGTGAACATACTTCCTATATTTTCAGTACCTGAGTGAGGAGTGTTTTGAACATGGATGGTTTATATGGGGTAAAAAGGACCAGACCAGAGGGATGAGGAGGGGAGATGGAGATGGTCCAGGTCAATAGGAAAGCACCATGTACAGGGAGAGGAAGTCTGGGTCAGGAGAAAAGAAGAAAGGTAGGAAATGGAAGCCAATGGGGGGGTTTAATGCCATTCCTTGCTACTCCCTTCCTGGTCATTTCTCATGACCCTATACAAACCATCAACTTCCTAACAAGCCTTCATTTGAGCCCTGAAAATGGAAGCAGTATGTCTCATTGAAACTAAAGCCCACACAGTGTCATAACTGAGAAGACCACAACAGACATCACACTGAGCATCACTGTTCATGTAACATACAAGTTTGGTTAATACAGAACATCAACCTTAATGGGATTAATCATTTTTCTGTAGAACTTTGAGTTCTCTTGAATATGTACCTGTTGCTGGTGGTGCTGCTGTCCATGAGGACCCTGCTGGAATCCAGGATGCGGTGGGGGCATGCCATTGGGATAGGGCGGTATCTACATGACACAGTAATGTGTTAGGCTGATAAAGTACTGTTTGCAAAGACTTGCATCATCATCAGAAGCGCAGTATTGAACAACCTTTTCCTTGTTTCACATAGTATCTTTCAACAAGTGGCTAGTGGCTATTACATTGGTTTTTAAACGTAGCCCACAGTGGCCATGATAAACTGCAGTGTCCACAGACATTTTGTTTCTATCCTACCGTGGTCTGTAAAATACAAACATAATGACATGAACCTCATGTTCTATTCACGTGTATACTATGAGAAGAAAACCTTTGAGGAATACTTTTGATGAAAGTACCTTAAATTTTTATCTTGACTGCTTCTTCTGGGGTCATGAAGAGCTATACTTATGAACCATATGTGAATTATAGTAGTGTGAATGTAAGCCATGAGAATCATATATAAATTTTAATTTTACTTAACTCCTTTACTGAAAAACTGCCTTGGCTACATAAAAAATCTGAAAATGTTTTTCCTTCTTTTCTTTTATACTAGTTTCTGACCTAACATTCACTGAAATTCAGAATTAGCAAATAAGAGTTTAACTAATGTTGTTTCCTGCAATCTGTATGTCTAAAAGAAGCCATGGCTACCACTTAACAATGCCATCTAAAACTTTGTAAAATTTTAAAAACAAAGCTATACCTTGTGATATCTGATAGGCATGAGCTTGTACATATTGTCAACAGATGTCCTGCCCTTCCAGCAACCTTGGAATACTACACTACAACCCTTTTAGTTTCAGTTACAAAAGGAACTGAAACTAGTTTAATGAAATGTGGGAATGTAATTTATTTACTTACAGAATGAATGCACACATTTTAAACAGCAGTATGAAATTCAAACTGCAGGCCACACCATCACACATCACCCCACTTTAGTGTTCAACCCAATTCTGCGTAAATTAATCTTGGGTTTATTTTGTATGGAAAAAATATTAAGTTGGTACACCCTTTTAAATACAATATTTTTATTTTCCACTTTGCTATTAGCAGGTAGCTGGATATGATCAAGTCATGCATTAGACATACAGAGTTATTCAAACCACCACAAGCATAACAAGTCATTCACTCCTATGAGTAATACAAAATTGTATAACGTCGCTCTGATGAGACATTAAAAAGACAGCCCTGCAAAAGTAAACAGTCTTCTGTCTTTTTGTAACTTGTCTGGTCTCATAATATTTCAGTAAAACAGTTAGATGCCAGAAATTGAAACACTAAATCTGACAGAAACTTGACATTACACAAGTGCAGTTTACTCGATATAATAAAGGTGACACAGACTTATAGTTACAGAGTAAGTAAAGCTGTCCCACTATACACCATGTAGGCACTTGGGGGAGAGAGGAGGTATAGCTCCTACTAATTCTTGACCTCGGCACTAAATGGGGGTGAGTGGTCAGCATCACGCCCTGGCCACGCTTTACCCCCGGGAAAGGACCCTGGTACCCATTGGATAGGAGGCTGGGTGGGCCCCAGAACCAGTCTGAACGCAGAGGCTAGAGGAAAAAAGCTCTGACCCCATCGAGGATCAAACCCTGGTCGTCCAGTCCGTAGCCAATCACTACACTGACTCATCATAGTTACAGAGTAATTCACATAATTACAGTTTCTGACAGATGATAGTGTGTATACATACACAATCATGCTTATTTTCAAACCTGTTCGTCTTTATAATCTATGGTACCACATCCTTCTCTCTCCTGTTTTCTCTCACTCTCTCAGTGTGGAGGCTGTTAGTAGACCACATACATATATAAAACAATGTTTCTGGTAATTACAATACTAATCACCATGGTGTAGCACGGTGGTAAATAAAAAAAATATGTATTGTTGCCACATCCTTTCCGCATTAGAATATGAGTATGATGATAAGTAAAACAATTCAGTGTTCACATCTTGCATTGCATTAACTTTCACGTGCCATTTAAATCGCTATAATGCAATGGTATCATTCAGGAAGTTTATTAACCCTTGAAGCTGATAGCCAGTGTACAATGTGAAACGATTTATACGGAAACATTGGTGGGATCACAAGTGCTGACTTGCAATATTTAGGCCCACAGAAAAGTATCACTGTTCTGCAATCTACTGTAGTATTAGGCCTTGTAGTTTCCACTCGTCAAGTACTGAATGCTCACAAAAAAGTGATACATGATGTTTCATGACCTTCAAACCAGCTGCTCGGTATAATTCAATATGGCACTACGTAATACATCACATGGTCTAGAAATGTGATACATTGGACACTTTAAAATAAATGTACATTCTGAATGTTAAATTTGCCACCGTGGGTGATTAAACAACCAGGAACCATGCCAGTTGACTAGTTTAGTTAGTTAAAATCCCGTACTTTAGGAAGAATTATTATACATCAGAATGTGGAAAGGTGATGTGAACTGAGGAGGGAAGTACTTGTCTGTCTGTGACGTGTTGGAAGCCCACTCCATACGGATCACCCTGTAGCCATTTTTCAGTGTTTCATCATTAATGTTTTCACTGTCAGTACAATTTTCAATAGGACCCACGAGTATTAATTATCACTTTAACCTAGCTAGCCAACAGTACATGAACTGGACATGAATGATCTGAATAGACCAAGCTCACCTGTAGTATGCCCACTCTCCACCCCCATACCCACTGGAACAAACTTCCCACCCTGCCACCAACACAGACCGTAAAGTACTGAAAGGAATTTGTTTGACCACATATTCTGCAGAACTTCCAAAAACCAACCCCCATCAAGCAGTCACAAAAAAGATGTCAAAAGCCCAGTTTGTGTAAAAAAAAGCTGTACACAGCTAATGTGCACAATAATTGGAAATTTACTGTATTATGCACATGAAACATTACAGATATTGTGTTGAATTTGAAGGACATTCTTTTTAAACAGTTATTCTGAACTCCAGGACTCCTGTAGTAAAAGATAAAAAGCCATGAAGTTATAAATTCAATACATTTTTCTGATCTCTAAGACAGAAAATTAAATGCTGTATTATGTCTACAAAGAAAAAGAATGCAATTTAATTACAATGTTAGAATGCATGAAGTAATTAAGTAAGCCATCTTAAAACAACGTGAAAACCATAACTGTCTGTGACCGAAACATACCTCAAACAAAATACAGATAAACCTCGATTTGCGCCAGGGATGCGTTCCTGGATGAACCAGCGTAAATGGAAACTCTTTTTATAATGTAAATCAATGGGAAGTCAATGACATGCGTTCCCAGCACCCAAACATTGACGAGTAATATAATGACATTACATTTAAAGTTCTGAAATAACGTAAATAAAATAAAGGGAATTTAAAAAATATATTTTATACACTTACAATAGGAGATGGCGTGATGAAGCAGCGTTAGTTCTTTGACAAAGTCCCTGGTTGAGGATCGTCATGTTTTTTAAAGAAGGCATGTAGTGTGGACTCTCGTGATTTTCTTCCAAAACTTCATGATACGGCCTCATGGACGCCATAACGCTCCTCTTCACTGTAGCACTCTGTTCCCAGTCGTGGTCTATCTCGCAGAGCTCATCAGTAAGTTTTTCTAAGTCTGAGAGGATGCACTGGAGATCTCCTATCTTCATTTCTCATAGACAAAGTTCTTCCTCTCTTTCCTCCTCTTCCTTTTGGTCCAGTTGTGCAGCCAATTCTTCTAAGTCTTCATTGGAAAGAGGCTGCCCATGGCTTTCCAAAAGTTCTGTTATATCTTCATCTGTCACTTCGTCCAAGCCCGCTTCTTGCGCTAGTCTTCTTACGTCATCTATGACGTTCTCCACTGGTTGGAATCCTGCGAAGAAAATAAATTCTGGCAGAAGTTTGCCCCACACTCCATTCAAACAATTCACTGATACTTCCTCCCATGCTGCGTTGATGTTATTAATGCCCCTCAAAATGTCGAATGAGCGCCAGTAATCCTTTACGGTTTTGTCTGAACTTTCCAAAACTCTCAGCATTTCTTTTAAGGTGTTGCAGAGATAATAGGCTATTACACCTTGGTCCATTGGCTGCAAAGCTGAAGTGGTGTTAGGAGGCAGGAAAACGACGTTGACATCCAGAGGAGTTCTGACTTCTGCTAGGTTTGTCGGATGGCCAGGGGCATTGTCCAAGAGAAGAAGGGCCTTGGTTGGCAAGTCATTCTCATGACAAAAACAGAGCACAGTTGGGCAAAAATAGTTGATGTACCAATCCAAGAAGACTTGTTGTGTCACCCAAGCCTTTCTATTTGACTTCCAGTAGACTGGCAACCTGGCTTTGTTGAGGCCTTTGAAAGCGCGAGGTGTCTCTGAATGGTACACTAACATTGGCTTACTTTAATTTTAAAGCGCCAGAGACATTGGCACCCATCAAAAGCATTACCCTGTCTTTTGCAGCCTTGAAACCTGACGCAGACTTCTTTTCATGGGCGATGAAAGTTCATGAAGGCAGTTTCTTCCAATACAGGTCTGTCTAATCAACATTAAAAATAAGATCAGGAGGATAATCACCCTCTTCCACAATGGCCTGAAACTCTGCAGGATATGCTGCAGCTGCCTCTGCATCTGCACTTAATGCTTCGCCACTATTTTCACACTGTGACATTTAGTGCAGAATTTGAATCGCATAAACCAGCCCCTGCTCCCTAAGAATGTCTCTTTACTATCCTCTTTTATCTTAAGATCCTCAAAAATTGACTCCGCCTTATCCGTGATAGCAATTTCAGTCAAGGGAATGTTTTTTCGATTCATCATCCACCCAGAGCAACAGTAACTTCTCCATTCTTTCTAAAAGTTTATTTCTGCTATAATTTACTTACTCTCGTAGCCTGTTGCATTGACTGTTTTATTTTATATGAATTTTTCATTATGGTAGTCACAGTGGAAGGAGGCAACTTCATACATCTGCACACATTACGACGGGTATCACCACCTTCTATTCTATGAATTACGTCCATCTTATCTTCTAACGCAATAGAACTACACAACTTTTTAGCAACTCATTCACTTCTCTTACCAGACATGGTAGCTCTTCTACAATTATAAATATAAAACAGTTGCTACTGCAGAATAGTGGTCGAACAACAACACAAACACGTTTAGCACACAGTTTTCAGCACATTCAATGTGTCAACAAGAAGCGAACTGAGCGCATTTTTCCTTACTCCCTTATCAGGCTGAACGCAAATGACTCACCGTGAAGAGTGACCAATGCTCACGTGACTTGCGCAATGTTGGCTGATTTGTAGGAGATTATCTCGCAGCTACTTAGCAATGAGTGCAGAGGTGACTGTATTTATAATTTTTATTCAAAATCAGCGATGTAAGAATTACGATTTAGTATAAGAATCAGTACGAGAAACATTGTAAAACGTTATAAATAATAGTAAAATATATTTTTTTCACTTTTTGACTTGCTGGTTTCAAAAGCGGCGTTATTCTGAATCGGCGCAAATCGAGGTTTACCTGTACAGTTTGTGGTTATACAGGTCAGTTGGTTCATGCCATTTAGGGAAATAATTGCTGCTACTCCCAGAATCATATGAAGCCCACACCAGTAAAACCAAAGGTATACAGCATGCAGAGCTGTTGAATGGTAAAATAAAATTGTTCCAACAGCTACCATCACAGTTCAAAAGGTTAAAGGAAGATTGGAATAAAAACCAGTTTTCTTTCTGGATAGTGACTGACATCTTTCATAATGGAGTTTGGTAAAGGGTGATCTAATATCCACAACTAAACCAAGATCTTAGCAGATTCATAAACTAATTACAATCACAGCGATAATATGAGTATAAACTTGCAAAACTACAAAAATAATAACGTGATTATTTCACTCTATAAAAACATGACAAGCAAAGTGCAGAATAAGGAAACACATAATGTTACATTACAGCATGCCTAGTTAATAAAAATGGCAGCAAACTTACCACCCCTTGGGCTATCAATCTCTGTATCTCCTCCTGCCTTTTTCTCTCAAACTCTCTGTACTCATCCTGGGTGTAGACCTGCTGCTCATCCAAACCCTCCCAGCCAGCATCCTTCTCAAACTCGGGCTTCTGTGTCTGTGCTAGGAACTCTTCATAGCTTGAATCACAAGAGAGAGATGTTTTTTTTCAAATACAGGTATGACAACACCACCACCACCACCACCATACAGTTTAATTGCAAATGTAGTAAAAGTTTAAAAAAAAAAACCTGTAATACTCTTTAATCTGAAAATGACTCTCATAATGCTGCTTCTTGTAGTTTTTCACTAAATTAATTTAATCAAGTAAAATCTCTCTTCTCAGTCCCTCTTTCACTTGATCATCTCAAAGATTTCTGTGTTTGTTTTAAAGATTCTCCCTGATTATCAATGGTAATTCTATCTGGTGCATTCTTTTAGCCAAGTTTAAAATTATAATTTTTATATGCAACCTCTGTTTCACACTGAGCACAACTTAATATGATGGTGCTATACTGGCAGTGATATAGTGGAAGTTGAATAGCTTCATGGCCCCATTTCTGCACGATCACAACTAAATTCATATAGTCTGCGTTTTCTTACATGCACAATCTGTAAAATTTCAGCAACAGTAATATCTGGCAAATAATTAACTACCTGTCCAGTTAATTTATAATGCCTGTTATGTGGATGTTTGATAATGGATTCTTCTTTGTTAGGAAAAGTGATAATGTATTATCACTTATACCAATGCAACCCTCTTCCAAGTTTCATTTACACAAGGTTAACATACCACTCTTTCAGAAAAGTATAGTTAATTTTGCTGCAGTGAATCTGATCTGAATACTAACTTAGCCCCAGGAATAAAGCATTTTTAATCAAGTTCTACATGATGGCAAGTTGGAAGTTCCTATGTGTCATTTTCGCACCACATGTCAGGAGGAAGAAGCTGTTCACAGCTATCATGTATTAAAAAGTGGAAAAAAAAGTTTTCTTGTCCACTTTCATGTCTGCCATTGGACTGAGTAACTGCTGGTCGGTCTGTCACCTTTGTCAACTCGTCACACATGCTGAATTTCTTATGAATGTATTGTTTAAAATTTACTCTACCTTTCAAAAGTGCTGTAACTTTGTCCACAGCCAAATGTTCAGAATGTGCATAATATTTTGAGTAGCAAGAAGTCACAAACATTTCTCAGTTTCAAAGTCTGTTACAATCTGGATCATTTTTGTCAGTAGCACTGTCACTGTTTGAAAAGTGTAGGAATCAAATAACATGAAAGAACCTGTCACGTTTCATTACCGAGCCATAAAAACATGTAAGGAACTGCTCAACTGTTGACCAATATCCCACCAAGCTGCCACATAAGTCGTGTCCCATCTTAACAATAATCTGCAGATAGAGAAACATTTTTGGATTCGGTAATGTCAGGTAGTTGGGAATGCCCACTGTCAGCTCTGTCCAAGTAATGGTAAAAATATCTGTTGGTCTCCTCCACCAGCAGAGTGATAACAGATTGCAAAATACAACGTATGGAGTTGAGTCCTTGTTGTATGGTGTGCCACATTCTGTCTTAGTCAGTGTATCACCAGTGAATTTATGGACACTGTTGTTTGGACCCTCCTTTGGATGACCCCACTCAGATACCCCTTCACATGCAAATGTCTGTGGTGTGATCCTGTCATCCTCATCAGATCTTTCACATGGCATAGTCATGGTTACCCATTTGTCTGGCTTGTCACTATACCCCATCTAGGCACCGCTTAGGGTACCTGTCATAGTGCAATTTGAGGTTTTTCTGTCAGGTCATAATCCTCACACACAGTACTTAGAGAAAGTTCAATTGCGTCCCTACAGTCATCGTTTTTCGTATCCCTGCTTGTGGATGCCATGTCTTGTCCTCTTTGCAGTGCAGTCAGCTAAAGTGCAAGTACGCTGGGCCAATCGTTGTTTCACAACAGCCCAGTTACTTTTAAAGTTCTTACATCCAACTGGAGAAAATATTGGAAACAAACTCATTATTCTCATAATAGAGGGTCAGTTCTTAACAAACTTTTTTGACAAATTACCGACACCAAGACAACAAAATGCCATATGCATCCATGTGCAAATCAAATCCAGATCACCTGATAAGCCCATCCTTGTTTGTATCAGCCTCTCTGAAGACATGCTCCCTCATGCGCTCTAATTCTTCAATACGTTCCCGCATGTCATCCTCTGCCTCACCTGGAGTGTACATCTTATCTAGTTCTTTAAGGAATAAGGCTTTTACTTCATCTGCATCCCACACACCATTACCATCTAGATCTGTAAAAACAAATACAAACCTTCAACACAAGGCACTTAAAACACACACTCCACACTACTTCATGGAAGGAATAAGCTGTCACCTGGGATTCACAAATGGAATAGTTTCAAAAGTGCTGAAAATATTACTGGTGTAGTGAAATAAAGAGTGAGCCAGTTAGCTCAGTCAGTACAGTTTCTGGCTACAGGCTGGTTGATCAGAATTCAATCCCAGACAGAGGCAGAGGATCTTCTTATAGCCTCTGCATCCAGACTGGCTATCAGAGTCCTTTCCCAGGACTAAAGCGTGGCCGGGCCGTGCTGCTGACCACTCACCCCCTTTAGTGCCGAGGACGAGAATGAGTACGAGCTATACCTCCTCTCCCAACATTGACATGTAATGGGATGGCTTTTCATGAAATAAAGAAAAACCAATCCAACAGAACACTCTAAATAAAGCACAAAAGTACCAATGGAAAAATCCTGTAAATTCAGTAATGCACTTTCAAGGTTATTATCAGCTGACAATGTTGGGAAAAAAACTGGTTTAAGCATTCTGTCTCTAAAAGAGGCAGTTCATTCTTAGTAAGATCCACTAAATAAAATCTGTTTCACCCACATGCGACATTGTTAGCTATTTGACATTCCAATGTTCCAACAGGTTGTGCTTGTTATCAGGGAACAGGGGTTTAATACACAAAGTTTTCCAAAGTAACCTTATTTGTTACCAGTCATCCTGACTTGATGGGAGGAGTGTCAGACTCTACCACCTGAGTCCATGTTTGCAACTTCACTGCATAAATTAATTTACTGGTTCCAGCAGTGAGTTCATCATCATGGCCACGTCCACAGATAAAACTTAAACTTGGTGCCTGTGTAATTATTTCCCATTCATAATACCCTTTCACCAACAATGTTTTAAACTAAATTTGTAGTCCATCACTGTTTCAAAAGCAGTTAGAGTTACAATAATCAAAAATCACTCCTCTTATTCTTGAATGTGAGTAAAGAAAGAAAGAAAGAAAGAAAGAAAATATATACAGGATAAGTCAAAAGTAGCCGCACACCTTTGGAAAATTGTAACCGTGTTACCTGCAGCCAAAATGTGCTGATATCAGCAGATATCTGTTGAGCGTAACCTCAAGTTTTGTTTGTTTGTTGTAGTTCTTCACATTGCCACTGAGAGTGCTTGTGAATTGTGGAAAACAAAATGGAGACTTATAGTGGCGAGGAAAGAGCCTACACTTTCAGTGCATTGAATCAGTTACTGATGACACAATAGATTCACTTCTTCCTTACCAAAGAAAGAAACTAAAATTACTGTTTGTACAATAATTACCGTGCAAATGAAAAAATGTTCTCGGATTGAACTCCTGATTATCCATATGATCTTGCTTCTCCCACACTTCCTCAAGTTGCTGCTTGCTGCCTGGATGGTGTAGCTACAACCATAATATTAAAAATTAGATGCACCTCTAACACTTAGGCACAGGAGGAAGAAAGATGTTAAAACAGGGCTTAAAAATAAAGTCAAGTGTGGTCTCAATTCAAGTGATTCTGGTAGGATCCATGACGGGTTCCTTCTGAACACCATTTCACTGCAGAAATCTTACTATGAATATGTGAATATTACTATGTAAAGTAACGTTGTCCCTCTACAGGCCATAGAGGCTCTTGGGCCAAGAGGAGGTACAGTAGTAGCTCATACTCATTCTTAACAGAAACGTTAGATTGGTTGAGTAGTCAGCATCATGCCTTGGTTGTGCTTTACCCCCTGGCAAAGGATCCTCAATAGCCATCAGATAGGAGAATGAGTCAGCTCCAGAGCCAGTGTAGACAGAGGCCAACAAATTTTTTTTGCCTCTGTTGGAAATCAAACCAGTCATCCACTCTATATCAAACACTATATTCACTGCATTACACCAGCTCCTAAATATGAATATGCGCTGAATCAAAAATTGTGACCCCTGAACTGAAAACTTCAAGTTAACTGGATACTCAATAACTTCAACATCTATGGTGCTACTGCAGTTTTCCCATAACAATTTGAAATACTGGCAGATGAGTAAATAACAAGTGTTACAGTTTAATAAAGAAATGAAGACAGCTTATTAACCTCTGAAAACTGTGCAGTAACGTGCAGAGACCTTCAGTTCGGCACATATAAACCCGACAAAACATGACCTTGACCTATACGCGACCTCGACATGAAGAGTATGGTCAGTCAGATACATACAGTTCAGCATAAATAAGCATGACAAAACATGATCTTGAAGTGACCTTGAAATTTCAATGGCCACTAGCCGGAATACCCTTGGGCTGAAATCGGCGTCACCTTCTCACGAATTTGACGTAACCTAACACAACCTACACAAAATTAACACAAACCTAACTGAAACCTCACCTAACCTATCACAACATAAACCTAACTAAACAAAACGCAGCGTAACCTAACCTAGCCCAACCCTGTCAAAACCTTTACATGACTTTGACCCAGACATGGTATCAACCTGACATGAGTATGGTCACTCAGATACCTACGGCTTGGCAGAAATAAGCATTTCAAAAAATTAAATATCAATGACCTCTAGTTCGTATACCCGGGGATGACAACGGCGTCACGTTTTCAAGAGTTTGACCTAACCCAACACAACCCACACAAAATTAACACAAATCTAAATAAAGCCTTACCTAACCCATCATAACACGACATAACACAACACAAACCTAACGAAACATAACGCAACATAACCCGACCAAACCCTTGGGCAGATATGGTCGTGACATTGACATGACACTGGCCTAATCATGACCTAAACTTAAAATGAATATGACCATTCAGAGATGCACAGTTTGGCAGATATAAGCATAACAAGAAATGACCCTGAATATGTGCAAATAATTTTTAACCATGTAATATTACTAACGATGCCCTCAATTTTAACCGGAAGAACACACTGTTATTTTTTAAGCACACACCTCTAAAGTGATTACTTAAAATTTTCATTTACAGTTCACTGGCATCAGTTTGAAACATCTCAGAATCAGTAACTTCTATGGCAGTAGCAGTCAAATCGGTCACTCCCGACTTTTTTCATCGCCCCTTTTCTCAATCACAGCCAAAACATTCTTCATATATTCTTTTCCTGAATACGTGGTCACTAAAACTTCTTTTATCACATCCTTTTCTGAATCATGTGGACATTCACAAAGTTTCAGTTGAAATGCAACATTTTAATAAATTAATCTGGCCATTTTAAACATGGAGGTGCAAAAAACACAAGATTGTTTACATTAAACGCATCTAACTGGCTGTAGGTGGATGGCCAAACTCTCCATACCAATAAGGTGAATATTGCAGTAGTTGGTGTAATGAATACCTGTATATACAGTGTCCAGTGACTTTATGTATACTTCAAGGTCTTATTCTTGTGGTCATTCCCAGTCAGAAATGTCATATGAACATGGGTCCAATTCACAATGTTACAGAGCTATGGACAGAAATTCAAGATGATTTGAACAGACATAAAATTTGCAGAGATACCTTTATGGGTGATGACAGGAAACAGAGCATTCTCCTATGTACTGGTCACCCAGTTTCGTCCATGTATGACTTCGCATAAAGTGCCCGTTATTATTGTTCAATTCTAACAAAAAGTGGATTGTCTTGACAAATGTTTGTAAAAGCCAACAATATCAAACTTCATAAAAAAACTGTTACGCTGTTCTAGAGTTCATAGGAAGACAGACATTTTTTCCAACCATTATTTGCAAATGCACCTAAAAATTCTGTTATTCATAATGCTATTAAATTACTTAACACAATATATTACAAACAATGAACATTCAGCACTTACTGGGTCATGCTGCTTATGTTTTGCATTTTTGTCTTCGATATCTTTAAGCAGCTGCTTTTTATGTTCTTCATCCAAAATCCTCAATTTTTCTTGCTTTTCAAATTCCTTTTGCATTTCATACTCCTTGAATTCTTCACGACGCTTTCTATCTGCTTCTGCTATATCAGCAGTTGTCTGAAATAATATAATGCAAGAGTGGGGACTGTCAATAATTAACCAAGAATGCAAGCAATAAAATCTGATTCTAACAGTAATCAGATATAAAACAAAAATAACTGTTGCACATCAACAAGCAACACACGCAATATCTGTACTACAGTAAACATACAGCGTTACAGAACAGTAATTACTTTATTGTAGCAGTAATTCTGACAACAGAACCAACTGTAGGAATTATAAGAGATGCGTTAGATTCCACAGCATTAGATTTCACTCAGAAATATGTGTAACATACACAATAAAAAAATATATACAGCATATACGGTCAAGATAACTAACTCATCTCACACATCTTACAAACAGAATGAAACTCAGTGTTTTTTATACAGAAACTTTGAATGATCTGTCTAAAGGAGGCTGATATGCCAGTAAGCTCTGATATGTTATCCCAGTTCACAAGAACTCCCTGAATGATACTTTGCAGCTACTGGAAAAATACTTTGAAAATAAGATGGTAATTTGTTCCAGTAAGTCCTGACTTTGACTTATTTTCTCTCTGAAGGGAAATTCTATCACCAAACAGATGGTGTAAAATGTAACCTTTAAAATGAGCTTCCGCAAATCTTCAATCTCGAAGGTGTGTGGATTGGAAAGATCAACATGCTCTGGTGGCATTTTTAGATGTTCTGTGTCCAATCCATGGCGCAGTTCATATTCCTTGGTAGCTAGGTGACGGAGGCGTTCCAACTCGCTGCGTTTAATTTCATCGAGCTTGGTCCGAACATGGTGATTCACATACTCCAGCTCATCAGCAATCTTACCTGACTGAGAAAGGTAACACACAAGGTTTATCAAACACGTCAGTTGAAACATCTTCCATTTGGATTATAAGTTAATATTAAATTATACTTATCACTCACCCGAATGTCGCTCTCCTCAGCCTTTTCCAGCTTCGTTTTGAACTCTGGGTCACTCTCCAAGGCTGTGACTATTTCTTTTAGGTATCGGTTATATTCAACCAGAATACCATTCTAAAACATAAATGAATGGACAATTTATTAAAGTTATGAACCTAGTATCATAAAAAAGAAAGTTCTCAAAAACTTCAGATACCACCACAGAAGGTAAGAGACGTAAACAGGTCCCTAAAACTGCAACTAAAAATTGTGGCAAAGGGTGCTGTTCCATGCGCTACAAAAACTTAGCCACTGTCCTTTATCTTTTTCTTCTTCTTTAAATCTGAGATGCATGTAAAAATAACATTTCTTCATGGAAAGGGCATATGGGACATTACATGTCAAATCAACACAGGTTACAACTCAATACCCCTTGACTTGAAAGATTTCTTGTGAAACTGTAGCCCTGACAGAGGTAAGTATTCATGCCAAAGTTTATTGCTGTATGGCTGCCAGACTTCTGACAGAAGACATCCAAAGTTTTTTAAAAAAACTTTGGGGGGAGGGAAGAAACTGTCTCAGAAAACGTGACATAACTTCCGCCCTTATTGAGATACAGAGTTCATTTCATGCTCATTTCAAAGCTAATTAAATGTCCTTTCCAATGACCTATTACATCAATACTGTGATGTGTTGCCGTGAGTGCAGCAGACTTGCGCTGGAGGGTAGGGGCCACTTGACCTCCAGGCTGCCTGGTCTGCATCTTTAGATGCTATACAAACTCTTACGGGCATTGTTGTGTTTCATTACTGCCATCAAGGCTTTTGAGACCATTGGCATTGTTGTGTTACCTAAGAGACAGTTTAGTTATCTGTTTATTGACATTGTTGTGTTTGTTTACTGCTGTTGACAATTGGTTTTTGAGTCAGTGTGGAAAGATCTGAGCTGTGTGGTTTTCGAGTCAGTGTGGAAAGATCTGAGCTGTGAATCGGACGTAAGGAGAAGTGTGTTGTTGTAGTAGACTGTTAAGTGCAGACCTCTGTAACTGATTTAATTTGACGTGAATAAATCAAGGGTTGACAATCAAGGTCGTAATTACCAACCCACGTAACAATACATTAAGCACAATTATGCTTTAAAAGTCTTCGAATTTGACCTTTGACCTTGCATTTATGAAAATGTGTACTTTAATTTTTTTGAAAAAATATATTTTGTGCATATAATTACTATTTAAAACATCTGCAAATATAAAGTTTGGACTGCAATGGGAGTGGGTTTTGTGAAGCATTCTACTGTGATGATTCATTTCACTTGTATTGATGAGGCGATTTAAAAGCATGTTTATTTAAATTCTTTACATTTATTAATTTAGGTTAAGCTAAATAGCTATATTATTATAAAAATACTCTTTTTTACCATCACATTTCATAAAGATTATGACTGTGTACAAACTTAAATAAGGTTTGGAAAAAAATATGGGAAGTATTTTAAATTATTACAAGAAACAATATATCAGCTGGGTCAGAATTCAATTAGCTGTATATATGGGGCAGATCCAAACATGCCTGGCTCACATTACTGAGTACAAAGCTAATGGGTATAAGTCATGCAGTGTCTGCAGTACTGGCAGTTCTGAGCAGGTTTTATGTGGCAAAGGCTATATGACCTGAAAGCTCCACACCTAGGTGTTCTCTGGGCATCTGAGACATTAGCGTGCTCCATACGCTCTTCTCTGCTTCTGTATAAGAGATATTTACTTCATGTTGTAAATGTTGTTAAGTGTGTTTACAATAATTATGGCATCTTGTATCATCATGTCACCCTCGGTGGACTAGTGGTTAGTATGCTCGCCACTGGACCCAAGATTCGCAGGTTCAAGCCCGGCCGAGGTCTACAAAACAATAATTTTGCCTGTTGTTTTGTATAGGTATGAAACATGGTTTCTCAATGAGGGAGAAACATAGATTGCAGGTGTTTGAGAACCGGGTGCTGAGGAGCATATTTGGGCCTAGGAGAGAAGACGATGGGACATGGAGAAAACTGTATAATGATGAGCTTAAAAATCTCTACTCCTCTCCCAATATTGTCAGAGTGATAAAGTCGAGAAGAATGAGATGGGCAGGGCATGTAGCACGCATGGATGGGACAAGAGGTGTGCACCAGGTATTGGTCGGAAGCCTGAAGGGAAGAGACCTAGACGTAGATGGCAGGATAATATCAAGTAAGATGGTGGAAAGCTTTGGTTAATTTGGTGATGAACCTTTGGGTTCCGTAAGTCATCTAGTTATTTAGTCAAATCATTAACAACATTTGTACTGCAATCTGTTAGGATAAGCCCTGTAAAATTTCCATAAACCTTACTTGTATATGTCATGACCTGTGCTTGTACCTCCTAAGTAACAACATATTTACTTCCTACAGATGTTTTTAAAGTTCCGCCTTCAAACTTTCAATGTATGTCAGAGCAGGTATTAATAGGTATTAATCTGTTAACATTTAATTTTTCAGAACATTAAAACTGTAGTTAATTAAAATTAAAAATTGAAGGTGAAATTTTAAGTTTCATGACCTGAATTGCCTTATTATGGTAATGAGTTCTATCATACGTTGTTTTAAGTTCATTGCTAGTGGTTTAAAACAAGCACAATTTCAGCAATATCATACAGAACCAAGGTTAGAACCAAATTCATGATCATGCATATGGCAAATTCCCAAAAAATTTTAAGAGTTTAAATGACAGGATGCCAATCTCCTGAATTAATTTAAATATGAACTGCAGTTTGCTACATTCATTTATAATGGGTTACAGTACAGTACAGTACATATAGTAAAACGATTGCAACGACTAAGTTGATTAAAGAACACAACAAAAAAACATATTTGTTACCCAGCAGCCCTGAGGATGAGAGCAGAGACTGTTCTTGAAACGTTGGCAGAAGATATGGTTTATTCACCATTCAGCCACCTGACATGGCTTGTAAGCTGAGAATCTTTCATCAGCTACTGTATAGTATACTATATTTAATTAAAATCAGTGTACATGAAGTTGTGGGCTGTGTTGATTTGACATGAATGATCTTTGTCCATCATCTAGTATTCCAAGCAGCACACAGTCTATTATAAACTGATTTTTTCATCAGTGAAAATGTGAGAAGTACCTACTTAATGCAGTACAATATAGAACCAGCTTCCAACATTTTGTGTTGTGTTCTGTTCTCAACATTAGATGATGGATGATGTGTGGCCTACGTACTGGAAGGAAAGGTACAGGGAACTGGTTACTAATCCTGAAATTCTCTAGTATACAGTGTTTAAAATGATTAAATTTTTCATGTGTCAGGAATATTGACAGAGTTGCAGTCACTACTAATATTGATCCTGTGATGTTACTGTTATTGTCGTCTTCTATTACTACAAATATTCTTGGTTTTCAAATTGGGCATCACATGGTACTTGGTTTTTTTTTAAATTTAACATTCATTCCATAAAGGACACATTTAACCTAATAACCATCAATACGCACTGTGGCTTTTAAGCAGTATTACGAACTACAAGACTTACTGGGTCATCTTCACCTTCCTCGTCGACTTTGTTGTCTTCATGGCCCTTCTTTTTCTGGGTCACAGGTGGACTCACTGCCTGTTGTAGTACGATAAAAAGGAGTAGCAGGGGCAGAGTTTCTCGCATTCCCTGCCGAAACAGAAGTACTGAGCACGTATTTTGACTTGTTACAAAACATACGCCACGGCTCCCGATTTAAAAGCTTTAATTCACATACTTCATATTCAGTCTGTGAACTTAACCTAAACCATGACGTGGAGGTCCAGCGTGTATTGAGCAGCATTATTGTTTCAACGTATATTTAAAGAAAGTATTTATACTTACAGAGAAGAAATGCATGCTGCAGGTAGATAATTAGGGTACGATTTCAATGTAATTGTCACACAAATTTAACTATCAAGTCCACACTACATAAAATTTCTGTAAAATATTGAGGTCCCTCACAAACTTATTAAAATAGGTGCCAGCTTCATGATATCACGTAGCGCTTTCTAAAATACCACAGGTTACGAAACGTGTGTCATATAAAATTATCTTACACTTAATAAAACGTCTAATTCAATCCTGTTTTCAGTAGCGTGGAGGAATACTTCGGTAAGTATATTTATAATAAATAACTGTTGTTTATAACAGCCAGTTGTAAGCTTAAGATAAAAACTCTGAACATGTGTTTTGGCATTACTGCTGTAAAATAGATGGAGTGCATTGCATCATGGTCACAAATTAATAACAAAGTAGGTCAAGAAGAAATTTTATAGATTTTGTAAATATTCCCCATTACTGCATTGAGTATTAATTAGGTTGTATTCTCTGAGACTAATGTAAGTTACTTGTTATTTATTTAAGTGACAAGCACTTGGTTTGATCGTAGTGTTGTATATTTTTTGAACCTAAAATTAGGAGGTGATCTTGGCTTTCTGGCAACTTATTACTCTTAATTCCAGGGTCGAAGAAACTGCCTATAAAAGTAGAACAGTACTAAACATTAATCGTTTTATATGCACATTTGACGTGGCGGAACGTATGTATTGCATTTGCTGCTATTCTGTGTATTTGAATTGGTGAATTGAGAAGTGCTTGTACTAGGTGAAATGTCATTTGAAGGAATTGGCAAGAGTTTTATTTCGTTAAACTTAGGGTATTCTTTACATGCTTTAGTATAAGTAGTTATTAATGCTTTTTGTATCATATTTTGTGCATATATTACTTTTTATCATTTCTATTACAGATATAATTAGTACTGATCAACATGGTCAAGCCCAATGCTCCACCATATGGTCCTCCACCAGCTGCTCCCCCTAGCTATTCTCAAGCTGTAGGCGGTGTTCCACCATCTAGTCCATTCACACCTGGACACTCATGTAAGTAAACAAAGCCTAAGAAAGAAAGTAATGTAATTTTTATGTAACTTTTTTTTAAATACAAGTTTTGTTAGTGATGTCAGAAAACTTTTCATCACTGCTGTTTGATGGAACATATATAGGGTTCAGAAAAGTTACCTCCCTTTTCAACAGTTTAGAGTTTGGGAATTCATTTGTAAGCTGAGTAGAAATGTAGGCCAATGGTGTGCTTTGTGCTCCAGCCACTTCACAACAAATAACATTGGCTATTTTAGTTATAGGCATGCATCTTGTGCAGGAGACCTGTCAAGCATTTAACACTTACATTCTTAACAGGCTTTCAAACAAAACTTGGAAGTATTCTAAAATGAGATAAACCTTAAGTCAAGTAACATTATATCAGTGTTCCAGCCCGTCTCTTCAGTATATTTTATTCAAAGTTCTTTACATACTTTATTTTTAGTAGTGTGATGATTAATATATACATAAAACTGTTGTCTTCAGTGTCTGGTGGACCCACAATTGTAACAACTGTTGTACCAGTGGGTCCACAGCCCACACATACGATATGCCCATACTGCCATGCTGAAATAGATACTGCCACAAAAACAGAACCAGGACTCATTGCTTATATCTCGGGTGTGGTGATAGCTCTTCTTGGGTGAGTATTGTGTTTGTGTATAAACAGTTCACAGTGATTCACATTCCTTTGCAATCTGGTTCTTTTCAAATGTGATAATATACTAGGCAAAATTGAGAGCTCATTCTACCATCCACTTTGTTTAAACATTATCATTGCTTGGTACAGAAACATAAGTACTAATTGTTTACAGGGTGATTGCATATTATGACATACAGATTTTAGTGGTGAGCTGTACATCCAAAAACAAGGATATAAGTTCATATAAACATTGGTCCACAAAATATCAGTTAGTTAGGGCCCAAACTTGAAAACTAAGGATTTGCTCACTCATGTTTATATGAACTTCTGTAATTGTTTTTGGATGTCCAACCCTCCACTAAAATTTGTATGCCTAATACAAAATCACCCTGTATAGAACATTAAGAATTGCAGTTTGATGTTGTGGTATATAGCAACCGTAAATGTAAGTAGTCTCTTTAAGTAAGTGATTACAACAGACAAATTGAAAGATTTGCACGTTCCAGCATATTCCTGCCATAACTTAGTATAATTTTTTGTGTAGTTTGACATCGTAATTACAGCATTTCAAACCTTTCTAAGCAGATATTTTAAAATCTGAGTGCAGAGAAATTGAGAAGTCATCATGCAATTAGGCATATTACAGTAAAACTGCGGTATAAGGAACTTTCGTGGATTGACAGATTGTATTCATAATAATGAAATATCATTGTACTGAAAAGCAATGAAAAACAATTTATCATGGAAGATTTATTGTTTTTACAAAGGTCAGTGAAATGCTTTTTTGGTAAATAGGTGGCATATCTTGCATTCATAATTATATTTGTGATTTATTGCATTAATTCAGAAGTTACTTGTTGAACATTATTAATGTCATCCTGGTGATATAACTTAAATTTGTTGCCACCTCTTTACAAGTAGAGCAGTTTCATTCTTTGGATTGGATTTGACTTTAGTGGCAGATATTATTAGTTACTGAGGTCTGTAATACTAACTAAAGATAAGAATACTGTGAATTTTCTCATTGATTCCTGTCAGAAGAAAGTGCCATATTGTACTCTTTGTTTTATAGCTGCTGGCTTGGTTGCTGCCTCATTCCATGTTGTATTGATGAGTGCATGGATGTGCATCATAACTGTCCCAACTGCAAGGCTTACCTGGGCCGCTATCGGCGGTAAACAACTTCTGGATCATCAGCAAACATTTCTTTGCAGTTAGTCTGTGTTACATTCACTCATTATCAGGTTACAAGAACAAATACCTTAAGTGCCACTTAACATGATAGATACTTTTTGATTAACCACAATGAAATGTAACAAATGGGCTTTCATTATTTTTTTTAAAGTTTGGAACACAGTCCATTATGTGTTTCTGGCTCATTTTTAAATGCTACTTCAGGAGTTCTTAACCTTTTCCAGACCTGGGGGCCACATTGACCCCTTCTTATTGATTCATGGGCTACAGCACTATAAGGCCGGGTGCAAACGGAGCCACTAGCCACAGCCACTTGTGACCGCCACAAGCTGCGGTCTGTATTTTGTATGGTTTAAATAGACAGCGCAGACACGGCGTTCGTAGTGGCCCGACCGGGCCACTCGCTGCGGTTGTGGACTTGTATCGCTACTTGTGGCTGCCTCCGACCACTGTTTATCCCGCTAGT